GAGATTTTATTTAAATGAAACTAAATTTTTTATATTTGAATCAATAGCCGTTGATTATATCTTATATTATTCTTATTATTGTTTGACGTGCTCTCTCCATTCAATTTTAATATTACTAATTTAATTTTTCAATTTAATAGTTTATAAGACCAAAAATTAATTTTCTTAATTGTAATTTTTGACATTTTGTTAAATATATTTATTTGATCAAAAAAATTTCATAAGTATCATGTATATAATATATATTTTTTTCTAAAATTCAGTTGTAAAAAAATCAACAAAAAAAAATATTAAAAGGAGATTAATTAATTTCTCTTTATTCATATGAAAAAATGAAAAGTGGATAAAACAAACTAAAATAATTGCATCAGGGACGGAGGGTCTCATTATTCATGGTTCATTCATATCTGCTACGGAGGGAGCGGCATATGCTTCACGTGCTTTGCCAACCGGAGTTTAAGCAAAAGAATTGTCACTGTTACAAAAACTACAAATATACATTTTGGATGATAAACAGACAAACGTTAACAATGACTTCATTGTCCTTTTGGTTGGGTTCCGTTCGCTACTTTGCTGAGCTCTGATTTTCCAGTGCCAATAATATTGATTAAGTAAAACGGGTGATCCTCGTTACTTCTCACATGCCTTTCATTTTGCAATGGCCGAATGCCCACATTTACTCCTAAAATAGAGCAGTAGGGATGCATAAGTTTTTAATTTAGGTGAATCATTTTAAATTTAATGTGTAATGTCATTTGATATCAGTAATCTATTAATCATGAATTTATTAGTATCATAACAAATTAATAAATTATTAATGTCAAATAACATCACAGGTTAAAATTAAAGTGATTTATCCAAATAAAAAATTTTATGAGTGGATTTATCTCTATTTTTTGTTTGAAATGGATCCATCTCTACCACTATAATTTAGGAGTAAATTTCAATATTTTTCCTTTTGTAATCAAACGCAAGGTTCGCCTATTACCAAAAACCAAAAAATAAAAAATAAAAAATAAAAAATTCCCCCTTCCCTTCTACACCAAAATGTTAAATGTAGGCTTATTATGTAACTCAGAAGTTTGAATTTTTTTTTGTAAATTCAGAGGCCT